GCCCCCCGCTAGTCGTTCGATATTGTAGTTATTATTCGATATTGCTCGTTAACAATGCACAGTATCGTTTTTGTATATATACAAACATATTAACTGAATAGAAACTTCCTACAGAAATCTTTCTGTTCCGAGTCTTTATTCTATCTCCGTTCTTATCAGACAATGAAAAAATATATTTTTTCTTTGATCTAGGTGACTACGAACGTCGCGTATCATGTTCGCCGACACATGACCTCTCCTTGCCATTATTGTTACCATTACTGTCAAAAGAAAAAAATTTGCTATTATCGTAAAAAAAAAAGAATTTACGATAAGATATTTCAAAATATGGTGAAACGTAAATTGCGAAGTGACGAGTGACGCGCACTCCTAGTCCTTTTTTTTTATATCAGCTCAGTGAATTAGCAGCTATGCAATCTTACTTACGACTATATTTCTTTAACATATTCTATATTTCTCTACATCTACAGTGAGTTCAAAAAGTCTTCGAACACTAGGAATTTTCACAGAAAATAATTTATTTCCGTATGATAATGAGTATTTAACAAATAATCGGTTTTACATATAATAAAGTCTCTCTTTAGTAACAATATATCTTAAACATAACTTATAAATTAATAAATATTATACTTAAAAACGACAAAAGAACGAAATATGATATTTAGTAAGAAAGTGCAGAAAGCGCAGAAAGTGTTCATACAACACAATATTCTGACTAGAAATAAAGCAAAATGAAAAAAACAAAATCAGATTAATACTTTGTAGGATAGTCTTTAGTTTTTATAACAACTTGTAGACGTTTGGGTATAGAATGTACCAATTTGGATGTGTCAGATTCTGTATCTGAGTTCCATTCCTCTTGTAGTGCTTGTCTTAAGTCATTCTTGCTTGAAATATATCTTTTTCTTATTTTATTTTCTAGAAGGCTCGACAAATATTTTATAGGATTTAAATCAGCTGATTGAGGAGATGTTTTCAGCTGTTGAGATGTGTTATATAAGAGCCATAACATAGTATTTATGGCTGTCATACTTGGTGTCATTATCCTGTTTAAATATAAAATCATTTGGGAACCCCACTTTTTCGGCATTGGTATGGAGATTATTTTCCAAAATATTTATATACGCTTTGTGATCCATAGTACCATCGATGAAATGAATATTTCCTATACCAGAAGCACTCATGCAGCTCCAAAGTAGCACAAAGCCACTTCCGTGTTTTACAGTGAGTATCAAATTTTTCGGCTGAAGCTCAGCATTTTTCTGACGCCACACCTTTTGGTTCCCGTCCGATCCAAATAAATTGAACTTTCTTTCATTAGTAAAAATGATCTTATTCCAAAATTCTAGAGATTTTGTTTGATACTCACGAGCGAACTTTAAACGCTTCTTGCAGTTGGTCTTATTAATCCAGCACTTCTTTCTGGCTACTCGTCCATGGTATCCCTCTTTGTGTGTAATGTTCCTCATTGTACAAGTTGACTTGCTTTTTCAGCAATTCTGCAACTATCCTGGGGGCACTAGTTTTCGGATCTTTTTTAATTTGACGTATGATAAATCGCCTGTCGTTTTCCGATAAGACAGACGGGCGTCCACTTCTTGCACTGATTTTTTAACTGTTCTGGTCTTGCCAAAGCGGTTAATGAAGTTAATAATACTGTGTATTGTAGAACGCGGTCTCCCAATCAGTTTTGATATTTCATTTAAAGACTTGCATTGATTATGCAGTCTAATAATAAGTTGTCTTTCCTCCGCGATAGTTTCGCTTCTTATTCGACCCATTTTCACTAAGTAGAGAACGATTGTGAAATTTCGCGTCAATATATATAACCGAACAAGGCCCAAATATAAATAGACAAAGAACATACGATGTATGTTTCTTACCTAAGATAAGTTTTTATCATAGATATCATTGGAGTACGAACACTTTCTGCGCATTACTAAATTACCATGTTTCGTTCTTTTATCATTTTTGAGTATAATATTATAATATTTATTAATTTGTAGGTTTTGTTTCTGGTATAGTATTAAGAAAGAGAGACTTTATCATATGTAAAAACGATTATTTATTTACTATTCATTATTATATAGAAATAAACTATTTTCTGTGAAAATTCCTAATGTACGAAGACTTCTTGGACTTATATTAATCGATTGCATATAAATCGACGTCGCGATTTTGCCGGTTGACTTACCATTTGCATAATAATTAGTGCCATTTGAGTTTATCATGTTCACGCGCTCATTATTATTTTTTGTCTTGTCTGGTATTCTTTATAGAGTACCAATATGAGATGTTGTCCAAGTATTTCATTGCAAAACACGGAAACTGTGATCCTTAATCGACGAGAAAGGTCACATTCAGTGACCTTTCATGCGCTCGCAAATGGTAATCGAGATTTTTTATTTATGAAGATTTATAAAATGTGTACGACCGGTTTGCACACGGAAGAAAAGATCTCGAGTCGAGTAATCAAATGGAGGTCAGACGAAAACCTCTCGCTGACAAGGAATAACGTTTCTATTATTATACAGAGAGAACGATTTGGTTGAATCAAATAAACTCTTCTTTGGAATGATCCAAACGAATTTTTTGATTAATCGAACAAAATTTTGTTTGACACAACAAAAATATTTATTTGCGGCTTAGTTTCAAAATAATATTTTTGTTGTGTTAGCCAAAAAATTTGTTGAGATTATTCCAAAGAAACGTTTATTTGATTCAACAAATCGTTCTCTTTATGATCGGATATATTTGTCTGAATATTCATTAATTTCATTCGGTTGAGATAATTGAGAGTAATTTGTTGAGTAAAAACCTTCTGCAGGAATCTTTCTATGAATCCTACAACCGAGTTTCTCATCTAATGTTTCTAATTAATATAAATTCCAACTAAGTAACATAAAAATTAACGCTAATGGACTTGTTTTTTCCATGCAATAATGTTGATCATGAACATTTATAGCAAAATATCGAGCACTTAAGGAAATATAGGAAAAAGACCCAGAGACGTACAAGTAACGAACTCGTTGACATCGCAAAGTTGAGTGTGTTCGCGAAGAACGTGACCAATTTGATATTGACAGAAATGCTTCTAAAATAGATAAATTGTTAGTCGGAGCGATAATTTTTCTGATTATTTCGAAACGAATTTTGATGGAACATTAATTCAGTGTTCAAAGTAACACAAGGTATTTTGGTAAATCACTTGTATCTCGGTGAATGAGATGAGTCAAGGAGCTCGAATCCTATATACACACGCTCTTCAAAATGTACAATTTAAATCAAACATATCTGTAGACAAGCAAGAGCTTAACACAAATATTGGAGCAAATATTTAAACTATATGTTAGGAGGATAATAATGATATCGAATTCGTTTAACCAAGAATTCAAAGCGCGTATTTCTCTCCTTATATTCTTAAATTTGTTCAGTAATTATTTAAAGCGTTCTTTCATTTCTCCAAGTAAATGCGCTCCTATGTTTATATCCTGTCTAATAATTGCTTATATTTGCGCTAATTATGCTAATCACGTAAACTAGCTATTAGTAGCTAGAGCGTATTAACTCCTACTGTATTGTAGAATTCAAAGTATAAGGCTAAAATTTTGACTCAGACGAGACAAATAAAATTGCTGAAACATAAAAATTAAGTATTGATTTCTTCTCTCTTTCTTCTTTTTCGTTAATCAATGTTGTTACGCGTGTGTATATCATATACGCGAATGTATGAACATGTAACATTCAATAACGTAATGCTTCATTTGCAGGTGAACGAAACGAACGAAAAAAAATGCATACGTGAAAAATTGTAGCGCTGATTACCAAATTGAAGCCACAATCGCTGCTGAATTCCTTCGAAGAGATTTGACAAAAATACTGCATGTTAAACGCTAATTAGATGAAAAAAGGGAAACATTAAGAGGATTTTTTTGCAAACGGTCAAAATGCGCTACGGATAATCACTCTCAAAAAAAAGCTTGTAAGAAGAAAAGAACGTTAATCTTCTTACGTCAGTCGATTTCAGATAACTAGTTATCACTGTTCACAATTATTCAAACCTTGCTGACGAATGATTATTAGACATTAGACCTGTAATAATACTCAGCACTTAATCTATATAGGCCATGTGAGTTTACAATGTGGTAAAAAGTGTGAAGATAAGAAAAATTCGTAAAACTTATGTCATCCGCTAACACAAGGAGAACCCCCGGGAATGAGAAAGGCTGACACGAACTGTATTTGCGTTCGTCTCCGTGTTTAACGCGAAGCAGTACGCATTCGTATCACAGTTGAGTATCTGCTGTGCGCACGGATGAGATATAAATAATTCGCCCTATTTACCAGTGCGTGGCTGTATCTAACATTGTGCGCATCTAGTCTTGTGCTACACAAGTAAATTGTCGATAAACGAAGGTTAGAACAGATTACAAAAGCGTAATTACCATCAGACGGATTGCGCAAAATACCCGAGGTAACTTAGAACCAATCAAACCGTAAAATCCAGCACAAACTCACTTTCACGAACATAATGTGCAGTCAAACGATCGATGTTAAGTTCAGAGATATATCGTACGCGATCCAGACCGGATTTCGCAGGCCGAAGAAACAGATCCTCAAAGGCCTGAGCGGATTCTTCCGATCTACCGAACTTACGGCTATCATGGGACCGTCCGGTGCGGGCAAGTCGACGTTGCTGAACATATTGAGCGGCTTCCAAGAAGGGTTGTACACGGGAACGGTGGAGTACTTCAGCAGAGGCAATAAGCAGAATCGCGATACTTTCAAAAAACAGCTGCGTTACATTCAGCAGATGGACAGTTTGCACGGCTACTTCACCACCCAGGAGATCATGATGATTGCGAGCTACCTGAAGATCAGCAAGAGTATCTCGCACAAGTCAAGGCAGATGCTGATCGACGGTATCTTAAACACGTTGACGTTGTCACACACCAAGGATACGCGAGTGGACCGGCTAAGCGGCGGCCAGAAAAAGAGACTGAGCATCGCCTTGGAGCTTATTGATAATCCAATGCTCATATTCCTGGACGAGCCGACCACAGGCCTGGACTCTTTGGCGTCTGTCCAGTGCGTGACCGCATTAAAAACACTGGCGCAAACTGGCAGAACGATCGTCTGCACCATACATCAACCCAGCGCAACGCTTTATGAGATGTTCGATCACATCTATCTGGTGGTGGACGGTCACTGCATGTATCGCTTCCCGCCTAGCGACACAGTTGACTTTTTCGCCCAGCAAGGTCTCGTGTGTCCCAAGTATCACAACCCTGCGGACTACATGCTGGAGGTGGTGTCCAAAGAGTACGGTAATTACGACGAACAGTTGATCGCGGCAACCAAGTGTTTCGCTGAATCAAACGATGAAACACGTTGGATCAAGTCATCACACGACATGAGCCAGGACATATCCAACGACAATCAGACGATAACCCCGCCCACAGAGCTGAATCGGTTCTGGGTGTTACTGTCGCGCTACGCAACCTTGATGTATCGTGACCACGTGACGATACATTTGAAACTGATCATGCACTTCCTCGTAGGGGTGCTGTTAGGACTGTTTTATGAGCACGCCGGCGATGATGGTAAAAAGACATTCAGCAACCTCACTTATTTTCTGATAAGCTTAGTGTACTTATATTACACCACCATGATATCGGCCGTACTCAAGTTTCCTTTGGAGGTTACCATTCTGCGTAAAGAGTGCTTCAACAATTGGTACAAACTGAAAACCTATTATATAGCCGTGCTAGTATCCACAATACCGTTACAAATGGTCTCCACCTTTATTTACACGTTCATCTCCTACTTGATGAGTAGTCAACCGCTCGAGTTCTCCCGCTTCTTCATGTGTCTGCTCATTTTCATCTTAACCGCCTTCGCTTCCGAAGGCATGGGCCTTTGGTTGGGCTCAATATTCAATCCCATCAACGGAACTTTCTTCGGATCCATTATCGTGTGCATCATGATAGGTTTCACCGGCATCTTGGTCTTATTCAAGGACTTATCCAAGTTTATGTACTATCTTAGTTACCTAAACACGTTTCGATACTCCTTCGACGGTTTGGTTCAAAGTGTCTACGGCAATGGTCGTGAGGTTTTACAATGCTCGATTATCTACTGCCACTTGCGAATGCCAAATACCATACTGGAAATGCTAGACTTAGCTAAACCGTTGTTTTGGCTCGACGTTGTCGTTTTGATTGGCTACAGTATCATGTTTCGAGTTCTGGCTTATGTATTGCTAAAGAGACGACTATCGAAAATGTATTAAAAAATGAGTATGTGAAGTATAGCTGCGTTATTACTATTAAGGTCGTTGATATTAAATTAATCGAAATGGAAATTTTAATTTGCTCGATCGCAGAACTCACGTAGTGTGACACTCCACGGTTTTGGCAAACAACGTGCTGTTTCTTGTACGACTCGTGCAAAAAACACGTTGCGAAATAGTGGCCGGCGCGTTGACAATCGAATCACGCAATTTCGATATGGCTGTGAAAATATAGTATTTTTAGTGCTTCATAAAGACGTTTCAGCTTCTTTCCTTTATCCTAATAGAGAGTACCAGATCCTTCACGAATATTTTCAAAGGATCGAGCTTCGAAGAGCTGTAAATCCTGAGCGGATTTGCGATTACGTGTATTACGACAGGAAGAAGTTTCACGCGAGCAATTCGTTGCGCGCGGCTGGAAGTAAAAGTGTCACTTACAATCGAATTGATTTTTCCGATTCGATTTCTTCTCTCCGCTAAATTCGCGCGCTCGAATGCGGAGGAAGGGACAACGGCGTGGAAAACGAATTGTGACCGCGCCAGGCGAACGCGCCACGTGCACGGTAACGCTTTCACGCTCTGAATGACATGTGTCCGACGATACGGCAAACATCCCGAACATGAAATATGAGAGACGATTGCAGTCATACCACGCAGGAACAATCGCGCATTGTTGTCGCGTCACAATGCAAATGCTGATCCTCCAGTATCTCGGATGGAAACGACGCAATAGTCGCAAGCGAGTTACACTTTATTTGCAAACGACATTCCTCAGTGTCACTCCGTGCGAAATGTTTACGTTTGCAAATGGAAGTTACAAGAGCAACGTAATTTAATGATACTAGGGATGCATGTAGTAAAGGAAATTGGTGAGATAGTTAGTAAATAGAGCATAGATATTTTCGTACAACCGTTGCAACGTATTGACGAAGGAACTTACGTAGGAATACGTAGAAATATACTTACTACGGTATAACTCCGGAATTAGGGGTCATATATTAATCGTAATGGTCAAGCGCATTGTGACGATAGATAACTAATGACACTAGTAATTTGTATGAAATCGTTGTCTCTAATAAATCGTTATTTCTCTTACACGACAAAGTCCACATTACCTCTCAAACTTCCTTGATACGGTAAGATTATGTAATGATATATACATTCATATTCCACGTATTTAAAAAGAACGAAGGTAAGAATAGTAAAGCAGCGAAAGGTACTTCTCTCTCTCTCTCTCTCTCTCTCTCTCTCATACACACACACTCACACTTTCTCTGACTCTCCTTCATCATCTCTGCCTATCTCTCTTTGTCTTTCCTCCGTGTATAACGCACAGGTGTAACGTGAGAGCCGGGTCAGAGGTTAAAAACCACCGAGTGAAATTTGCAATAGGATTTCTTCATTGCGATGTTAAGGCGACTCGCCGAGAGTCGCCGCCGTCGCGGTCGTGTAAATAATTTTGCAATAACAGTATACAAGACCATGCGCATGCGTAATACAGATTGAGAAATAGCCAAATTAATATCTTTCACTGCATCGAATGATGCATTACCTGCGCCCAGTATCCGTGCGATGAGCTACACGATGATGATGATAACGATCGGAGAACATAACGAAGAATCATTAACACGATACCAAACTGCGATGAAGAAAACATTAACAACGTCACAATTAAATTAAATTTTAACATTATCGACTATATATAGCATTATCGACTATGTGTAGCTGTTTAAAAAGCAAAAATAAATATCAAAATTATGTTTAATATGCATTGACATAATGACAAAAGTGTTTCTCTTTTCTTATATTTCTTATTATATACTTATATTTCTTATTTTATGTTACTATTATTGATAAGATGAGAGTCATTCGATCAGGGTCATTACCGATAAGATAAAAACCATTTGATGGAAGCTGTAAACATAATAAAATCTCAGAACATATAACATTCATAAATATCGTAGAGTTATTAAACGGATGATTTATCATATAAGACACAATTAACTACAGAACGTGAAATTTTAAGTGATTATGCTCTACGCGTATAATGATAGAATCAATTTACAAATCAAGACGTTTTGTACAATGATAGAATCATTATAGATTACGTTTTGTATAATGATAAAATCAATTTAAAAATCAAGATGATCGCATATTTTCAGATTTGCAATATTAAAATAGTATATTATATTCCGTCGTGCATTAATAAGGCGACTCAGTCATATGTTCACTGCGACGAGCTAAATTTTTTTCTTTGAATAGGTTAGTTCGCGTTTGCGGTGCTGACACTTGAGACCGACGCGAACCTCGTGAGGCTGTATTTATCATTCAAGTGAGTGGATCTTCGTAAGCTGAATAATTTCGCTGTCGAGACGTCACTAATGGGTTTCCGCAGTGCTTGGGATAAAAACATAACAAAGTTAGTAAAATTTGTAAAGTTGTAAATATAATGAGGAAAAGTTGTAAAAATGCACACACATTATTATTCTGTGCAAATATCAACAATTGAATATCAGAAATCATTTAATATCTAAAAGCTGACATTAAATATTTTACTTTTAACTAAACTGCAATTTCGTCTCACTTTTAGAATAGCTATTTATGCGAGTAGCGGAAATTGATGCAAATTCTGCAAAAGCATATTATTGTCAAACTCAAAAGACAATCGAAAGACAGTCAGCATCTTAAAATACATTGTAATATTTTATCGTGATTTCTCACAAATTAATGATATAAATACAATGTACAATTGACGCAATAAATTTAAATTTAAATATAAAATTAGATGTAAACTTTTTAGTTAAATCGCGATTTCAACCGTGATGTTGCATTTATCATATGACTTGAATAAAAACTCAAATCTAACTTCAACTCCAAATTCAGATCTCATCTGGAACAAGATTTAAGTAATGATTTTTACTTGCGGCCTTAGATTCGTATTAATAGTCGTTACTTGAAACCTGCTTCAAATAAGACACTCAAATTTTAATTTAGAGTTAAATCTGAATTTCTCAGCTGAATCGCGATTGCAAATGTAAGATCACACATTTTATAATATTATTGCGCTCACGCTTGCACTCGCGATCGCGTACGGAGGAAATGAATGAACACAATTATAAAAGAATGAGAAGCTTTACTACGTACAGCGAAATACGAGTTCACAGCCTCAGTCTCAATACAATCGTAACACGTCCGCTCATGACTACGACCCGCTGTCAACTCTCTACAGCCTGTTCTACAATACGTCGTATGTCGCTGTCGTATATCGGAGTGCAGCCGATGGGCCAATCAGAGGATTTGTTTTTCAAGAAAACAACAGCTGACAGAGAGTGAAGCTGGCCACACACACGTAATTTCTTTCCGTAATAGTAACCGTAAGACGTAACATAACGTAAGAATTGACCAATTGCAACCGAGTATTCATAAAAATGGCGACCTTACAATTCGACGATTCTCAACATGATTGGTCAATTCTTACGTTACGTCTTACAGTTACTGTTACGAAAAGTGTGTGTGGCCAGCTTCACTCTCTGTCAGCTGTTGTTTACTCCCCGTCAGCTGTTGTTACTTTCCATTGTCAACCGTGACTCTTCGCTTGTCTTCCTATATCGGAATCATCGAAACCGATGCATCTCCGGTAACGCGGGCGTAACGACATTATATAATTATAATATAATTTATATTATATTTTGGGGAAATGTGGCGGTTGCCTCTTTTATATGGCGTGATCTGTCGCTCGTGGGAAGAGTGAAGTGACGCTCGCTGTTTCTTTTAACTTTCAAATAACAAGTAACATTTATTCTATGTGCGTTACATGTGTGTGTGTGTGAGAGTGTATGTGTCGGGGAATTGTTCCCTCCGTCTTATGGCTCGTCGAGCCGCCACGTTTAGTCCCTTGCCATGGGGGCGACGCGTCCTTCTTCGCTGGGGACCACCAGAAACCGGCGTCCGATTCCCTTTCTTCGTGCCCGTTCGTGCGACGTGGTGAGACCGGTCGTAGAACCCGGATGTCGCCGCGAGCTAGAGGAACTGCTGCAGGTCGAGTCAACTTCCGCTGTGGGAGCCAGATGTGGTGGAGCTTATGGACGCCTTCTTCGGCGTCGGTGGCCTCGTTGCCGCTTATCCAGCGGACACGCTTTTCAGCGCGAGGTATCGCTTGTCCAGCGAGCGCACTTTGCAGCGCGAGGTATCGCTTGTTCAGCGAGCGCACTTTGCAGCGCGATGTATCGCTTCTTCAGCGAGCGCACTTTTCAGCGCGATGTATCGCTTCTTCAGCGAGCGCACTTTTCAGCGCGATGTATCGCTTCTTCAGCGAGCGCACTTTTCAGCGCGAGGGGTAGCGCCTCCAGGTGCTGTTGTTATAGCTGCCGGTACTATGGCTGTTACTAAAAGTGGCCTATAGTGACGAGTGCAGCGGAGTGCGAGTGTGTACGACCACCCGCTGGGTCTGACTTTTATTGTCTCTTAATTGAGATTTTCTCGCGAAAAACCCCCCCGCGAATGCGCCACCGAACGGCGTTGCGCGGAGGCTCTCGCGATTGTGCGGCGGCTTGGCTAGCGGCGCCGCGCTTGTGTGTGTGCGGATCTATATCGATCCGCCACATATATAATCCAAATATAAAAATCTTTCATTTAACTCTAAACTCAGATCTGAATATTTCACGTAGCATAAGTTTTAAGTAACGACTATTAAGGTAGTACATAAAATGAATTATCTCAGAATTCTTTGAAATTTACACTATATATAAATTTAAATATTAGATACAAATATTATAAATTTAAATATTAGGTACAAATATTAGGTCTAATTATTAGTGCAATTAGAAATAGATTGACCATGTGAAAGCTGAGATAATAAAAGTCGAAGTTACCACTTTTAAAGTGTAGAGTAGACATCAAAAGCGACATACCACTTTGTTTTTAGAGGTTATGTCTTAATGTAAAGCTCAAAATATAAATGTAAATATATGTACATGTTGGAAGTACCTCCTGTCAGATAATATTATATTTTTACTGAAATTGTTACTATATTTAAAACAAACAAAAAATGTTTTTGTAAAACGCACGAAAATAGAGTTCCAAGAAAATGGGTGCCAAAAGCGACATATCTATTAGAAGTTATATAATATGTTGTATATATAATAATATCTGATAATAAATAGTTCCTTAATGCGTTTAATGATTGAATAATATTCATTTATTCAAAATAGAACATTACAAAATGGAAATATAATTAAAGAAAAACATATCTTTGGCATTTCCATCTTTTTCATTTCTCACATATTTTACATATGTTATATTTTTAAACTAAACAAAATTAAACTTTAAAATAAACAAATGCACGTCACAATGGCAGGTTAGAATCAAGTTAGTCACACAGCATCGCACCTATCGCATACTGTAGGGGATACTATGTCGCTTTAAGACACATTCTCATAAAATTTTTCAAGTTATACAGTAAACAAATAATGAAGATAAAAATATTTAAAAAATATTTGTACAAAAGCCAAATGCGTGTAAAAGAATTAATATTGAACAAAAAGATAATTATCGCTGTTTAGTCTACGTAATTCGTCAATAAAAATCATAGAAATAAAACTTACGAATTTCTATAACTCCATATTTGCTAATTTAGTATATAAAAGAACAAGAAATATACCAAGTATGAATTTTTCATGACTTAACTGATAAAACGAATTATGTTTATATTAGTTTCGATAAAATACAACATTTAATATGAATGAGATATAAAGGTATGTCGCATTAAGAGGCTTATGTCGCTTTTGGCTACTTTCCTCTAGTTATTTTTCCTTATGTCCTCCAAGATCTTGAATGACTTAGGCCGGTATTCATAGTCAGATCTTATATTTAAGATTGCTTAAGTTCATCTTTAGATATTCCGTAGCCAATGAAATAACCCGTACATCATCTGAAGATAAACTTAAGCGGTCTTAAATATAAGATCCGACTATGAATATCGACCTTATTATGTGCAATAAGTCAAAGGATTTTCTACTGCGTATTTTTTTTCTATCTAATGTCTGAAATTGGCGACATTGCTAACTGGCGATTAAATGACCCTCACTTCACTTGACATACGACGATAACGGCGATTTAGTATATAGGATGATCGGAAACAGTCGCATTCGGTTAATATTCTCGTATTTTTTAGCGAATTCTAAGACTATTTTTCCTCTTGCAAAATGATATCCGAGGCTTAGTTGCTGAGTTATAAAGAGAAATAGCCACTCACAGGCCAGATACAGAAAGTAGGCAGGGGCGGCACAATTCACCGTCAGATACAGACGTTGGGCAATACACATGTGACAATATTCATATATCTTAGTTTGTAAATTTTTAATGTTTGCGTCAATATGATTGTACACAATAGTAAATAAATTATTTTAACTTAGTTGAATATGATTATAACATAACATGTAAGGATGAAATAGTCGATTGCGTTCGCGCACGCGAATTTGACCTAAGTACAATATAAACTTTACAAATACGAAAAACTTTAAAAATAAGCACGAGAAGAACGAAACATTAATCGTAGAAAGCATAAGATATTCTTACATTATTTGAAAAAACCGACGAGTTTGTATTTCTTTGTAAAAATTGTTTATCTTGAAAAAGACAGTTTTAACACACATTCATTACATTCATTACATTTTAAGACACATTCATTACTTGTGGGTTCGCTCTCAAAAACTATGATATTAACAACGTTTTGTGAGTTAAACGCAAGCGAGCGATACATACATTGGTAAGATATGCAAACGAGACCGATTAGAAAATTTTAAGAGAAGCTGCGAATCACGCTATTCATTGTAAACGCGAATAAACGTCGTATCTTTAATCTCCGTTTTTGTGAATTTTGCGTGCAAAACGCAAGAAACGTTCACAATTCGCGATCGAATCGGATGTAATAAAGTCGAAAGAAACATGAACTCATTAATATTACAGGAACGAAGATACGCTTAATAGTAGTATTAAAAATGTGGTCAAACTAAATAGAAACTGCTGCACCATTTTGCAAATATACATATATATAAAACCACAGAGGGAGATAGAAAAATTTTTAATTATTATTAAAAA